GGGGTCACAGCAAAAATAGCTCCCCACTCACACATGAATAAATGATGGAAGGGCTGATTCTAAAAACTCTCATATTGGTCATTCTTCAAGGCTCACAACACCCAATTTGAGAAGACTCTTCAATATTCGCAGATATGAAATATGAAAATAAATTTGTTGTCAAAAATTGACAAAACTTTGAAAATAAAAACTTGACAATTTTGACATGTGGAAAACCAGCAGCAATGACTTGAACTTGGTATTTTCCAGGTGCAAACATTGATGCAACTGACAAAGATGGACGGACGCCCTTAATGCACGCAGTAGAAGCAAATAATGAACAAGGAGTTCTATTTCTTCTCAATAACAATGCAAATATAAATTTGTCTGACAATACCGGCTTGACCGCATTGAGCATCGCACTCAAGTCGTCAGCGACATCTATTTATTTGGCAGATATCCTGCGGAGCTTCGGTGCCAAATTCGGCCCCTTCTGTTCAAAATTCCCAGAGGATGTCAACGCACATCTACCTTCGGGTTGGACTTTGTTGCACAACGCGGCTCAAAGCTACAACAATATTGACGCAGTGAAGGAATTGCTGATGTGTGGCGCGGATCCGATGAAAGAAAGTTCTTGTTGCGGTAAAGCGGTTGCCTTGCACGAGGCGGCGTATTGGACAACTCCGGCATTGGTGGAGGAATTCATTTTGAGAGGAACTGATCCAGATATCCGAAAGTCTGACATGTTCAACAGCGGTCCGATTCATCTGGCCTTCTATTCCAGACGCAACAAACCTTTGTTGAATGTGCTCGAAATTTTGCTGGCATTCGGCGTGAGCGTGAATTCGCGCGACAAAGTCGGTGATACTCCACTGAGTTACGCGAGGAGATTCGGAAAAGGCGAGGACATAGTGAATTTTCTGATCGCAAACGGCGCCCATGGATGAAGTTACGCGGTTCATTTGTATAACTTGAGTTGTATTTTCATCCATTTTTTCATCATCAAAAATGTATCTGCGCACGGACTTGGACTCACATTCGTATTAAAAATGTGATAACTGTCGGATTTAAAGCAAATCTTTCAGTTTATAAAAATACCCTCTGCTGATCGGATTCAGAATGCACTTTTTTTTCTAATACGACACCACGAAGCAAAGCTCAGCTCGGAACAAATGCGAGGATAAAGTTGTAGAGCCCCTTCACTTGACTCGGAAGAAACTTATGCGAGAAAAATCAGCGCTGCCCCGTGTAGTGCTTAGCATCAGGGACGTCATACCACGGATTCCCATCTTTCAAAAAACCATTGTCCGCAAAAATTCGACGAAGAAAGTGTGCGGATGATTTCATCGTCCGTCTGCGATTCTTATCCGCAAAGTCCACAGCGCACACTCCGAATTTTTCTCTGGTATAACAAATAAAAATACATGCTTAGGTCGAACCACGAAATCTCAATCAAACCTCACCGAGTTCGAATGCCTCCCTATGTCAATTAGTTCAAGTCACTGTCTGGATTCCCCTATAGAAATAATGCATGAATCGCCTCCCAAAATCAAAGGCTCTCCCCTTGAACTTACAAGCGTCAAATTTTCTGAAGGCCTTCTGGTACAGTATTCTTTTATTAACATAGGAAAATGAAAAGCAGTAAAAAATATAACGATGTGTCCTGAAAGGAAGTGAAGACTCTTTTGGCACATACAAACCCTTTCCTCCAAGTTCAGCATCTTTTAAGTTAATTAGGATGCAATTAAAGGTCCAGGAATATCACCAATTACAATTTTCTTCAATTCTTCATCTCCAATAAGAATGCTCAATTCTTCAACTGAAAACCTCCCTGGATCAAATTTGTTTGCTAATCCCTAGATGTTTTACTCAAGGAGGCTTGACTGTATTCACATGCAAATTGACAATAGTAAATACAAGTCCACTTACGAATACCCAACCGTCCACTCAAAAGAATCCATCAGACTCCACGCGTAGTATCCTTCAACCTTGCATCCATCCAACGTAATAGCTGTAAAATGTATGTACAGTATATATACTTTCAGTGCTATGTTACATAATTCATGGCTTATATAAATCCAATGTATATAAATCCAACATTTGAATTTTCAGTCCGTCGATCAAACGGAATCAACAAAAATATTCTCACGATAGTAGAACAATTTAAATAATGAAATGCAATCAATGGCGTTTTCAATAATTACCGATGTTCTTTATGTATACAGTACTTGTGTGCTTGGATCATGCTTGAAAGTTGTATCCTCGAATATTGTGAAACGAAGTACTGTGAGTTAATGACAACAATGATGAACACATGTGACATGTGCATTATTAATACCGTAATACGTATTTTGTTCCGTATTACATGAATACTACATGATGCTTTGAGATCTAATCTAAAGACACTAATGTTTAATACGTACATGAGTAGACATATTTTCCGACGGTGAGTCAGAAATGGAGAAGTGTTCAAAAGAAGGTCAAAATACGAACCCTTCAAAACATTGTTGATGAAGTGCTTGTAATAGTACATCCTGTGCAAGTCATCCAGATTTCCAGCAGTATCTGAAACTCCGTTTTCAGTTATATAAACTGGCAAGTTGCGGTATTCGTCTTTCACCCAGTTCAGAAGCATTCTCATTCCTGGAGGAACAGGTCTCAACCAAACAGATCCCGAGCTGAAAACGCAGAAGTACAACGACGATATGATAATAATAATAATAAGGTACCGTACTTTTATCAGCGGCATGTCAAAGGACTTGAACAATGATAAATTTCCAGCAGTGAACCTTAATCGGTACAGAAAAAAAGAAACTCACTTTGGCCAAGTAGGATCATAATCAAGTTTAACATCTCTGTCTTCTGCACAACTGACAACTTCATGGTTGCCAACGGCGTGTGAAACGACTTTCGACGTGTAGTGATTCAGTCCAATGAAGTCGGAAGAACCTAGCAACTGTTTTCGTTCTTCCCTCGTGAAAATAGGCAGTCGAGACTGTGGGAAACCTTGAAGTTTGCTTTTCTCACCTATCTGTTTGATCAAAAAAGGAGTACAGCAGTTTCGTATACAGTATTCGAGCAGCTGAAAGTAAACGTATACCAACCGTCTGCTGGAACTAAAAATCCCGCGCTTGGATTTTTTTCTCAATATATACAGTTCCCAAGATATAGATTTTATTCCATCATCGTGATGCTTTATTTTTTTCCGGTGCAAAAAATGCAACCATCCAAGCATTAATTCGCCAATACACACATTTTCAAACATTCGAACAATTTTCTCATCAATTTTGAAACCTACTGTATAGTATAGAATCACGAATGTATTTTTATACGTGCGGAAACGGTACTTGAGCATGATTTTCTCCCAAATTCTGCGTGTAAATACTTGTAAGTACAGTATTCGAACATACGCAAAATGCGGACTTCTCCGCTGACTATTATAGCAGCTTTTAGAATGCTCCGCTTATTGTACTTCATCGTAAACACTCAATGATTCGCCTGCGAAATGTATTTTAACCCAGAAGATTTCCAGATAAAAATTACAATGGTAGGGACGACGATAATCCACCTTCCAGGTTTTCCCAAGAGTAATCCTTCAGGCAACGAATTCTGAACTACAGTCTAAAGCTGATATGAATCATCGCAACGACAGAACCATAATCTTCACCTGATCAATCATAATTTGCGGGTAATTCCCGTCTTTGAAAATCGGATGTGCGAACCAACCCAGCGTAAACTGCATGTATCTGTTGGTCGCCTTCACATCGTCTTCGGAATCAGACGCAGGAAAAGCCGCCTCGGTGAAAAAGCTGATGCCCAGCTTACCTTGATATACGGTACACGCATATCGTGAAATATGGGATGAATGCAGAAAAATATTGCTTCACGTCATAAAAAAAAAAT